GAAGGAAGGTTGGGCAATCTACTTCCATAGTGATACCACCTCAGAAACCCAAGGAGGGGTCGCTATGAGTTGGGTCCAACTCGATGGCAAACAACAACAACAAAAGAATCACTATTAACATTGTGGTACATGTTTCTTTGAGTTTTAAATTTTTCTATCTTTTCATAATACTTATGCATCTACTGATACACAGTTTAGCATCTTACTTTATCTTTCTGAAGACACTTAGCTTTTCAAATGTTTCATGTTTAAATGTTTTGTAACTTGTAATTCTACTTCTGTAAAGATTTGTTGCCCCGGAAACCCAAAGGGGGTTGCTATGAGTTGGAACTGACTCAATAGCAGTGAGTTTGGTTTTTTGGTGATACCTATGTCATATTGCATCTCCTCTATTTGAAAAATCTACTCAATTTGCTTTTGTCAGTAATGAAGTCAAAGAACATTACTTACTTTGAACTTTCAGTGTGATAAATATATTTATGTATAAATAATTGAAGAAATTATTTTTGTTAGGGAGCTCTGGTAGCATAGTGCCTAAGGCACTTGACTGCTAACCAGAAGGCTGGTGATTCAAACCCACGAGCCACTGCTCGGAAGGAAGGTTGGGCAATCTACTTCTGTAGTGATACTGCCTCGGAAACCCAAGGAGGGGTCGCTATGAGTCGGGTCCAAATTGACGGCATATAACAACAACAACAATATTTTTGTTAGTTGCTGTAGTGAGTTCCAACTCATAGTGACCCTAAGTAAAATAGAATGAAGCACGGAGCAGTCCTGCACCATCCTCACAATCGATGCTGTCATTGAACTTGTTGTTGCAGTCACTGTCAATGCATCTCATAGACGATCTTCCTTGTTATTTCTGACCCTCTACTTTACCAAGCATCATATTCTTCTCTAGGGATTGGCCTTCATGATGATATGTCCAAACTACATGAGACAAAGCCATGCTGTCCTCTCCTCTAAGGAGCATTCTAGTTGTACCTCTTCTAAGACAGATCTATTTATTCTTCTGGCAGTCCATGATATATTCAATATTCTTTTAAAACACCATCATTTAAATGTATCATTTCTTCTATAATCTTCCTTATTAATTGTCCAGCTTTTGCATGCACATGAAGAAATTGAAAAGACCATGGCTTGGGTCAGGTCCACTTTAGTCTTCAAAGTGGTATCTTTTGCACAGATTTGTCCAGTGCAGTACAATGCCTGATTTCTTGAATGCTGCTTCCATGGGTGTTGATTGTGGCCCAAGTAAAATGAAATCTTTACAGCTTCAATCTTTTCACCATTTATCATGATTTTGCTTATTAATTCAGTTGTGAGGATTTTTTTATTTCTTTGTGTTGAGGTGTAATCCATACTGAAGGCTGTAGCCTTTCATCTTCCTCAGAAGGTGTTTCAAGTCATCTTCATTTTTATCAGGCCAGGTGTATCTCCTGAATATCACAGGTTGTTAATGCATCTTCTTCCAGTCCTTATGCTGCATTCTTCTTCATATAGTCCAATTTATCAGATTATTTACTCATCATACAGATTGAACAAGTGTGGTGAAAGAATACACTCCTGGCACATACTCCTGATTTTACACCATGAAGTATCCCCTTGTCCAATTTGAACAATTGCTATCATACATCAATATGCCATCACATTTGAAGAAAGCAAAAGACGATTAAAAAGGAAAAAAGGGCCAAAATAGAAA